CATAAAAAAATTAGGACATTTGAAAGTGTCACCCACCATAATTAAAAAAAATAAATAGCATTGACAAGTAAAAAGTAAATAAAATTCCACAATCAGCAGGCAGTAAGTGCAGAACTTGCATGCCACTGGCAATGATTCTTATCAAGCTGGAAAGGCAGAAAGTGTCACAAAAATGACAGAGCAACAATCATAGTCAGCAAATCTTGAATTTTAGGTTGGGTGGGGAGGCTTGTCCTAAGTACAGCTTTGCAAATTACGGCCTAATTGCACAGTCTTCTTTAATTTGGTAACCTTCATGAAAATACTCATCTGAAGCTGCTACAGCTGATTTTATGAGCAAGTTCACACCAAAAAAAAAGGTCTCTCAGGACCTTGCTACAAATTATTAAGTCTGCACTAATTCTACAAAAAAAGCAAGATACATTCTGGAAAAAATTATGACTTGAAAAAGAATCAAGGGCTAAAAATCCATCAGTAGAAATTTTCCACTACATCCCCCAGGGAAACAAATCTGCCTATCATAAAAGTTCCATCTGAGGTTGTTTTGGGTCAGAGCTACAAACTATAAGGTGCACAGATGTTTCAATAAAATTCCACCTTGTTTTGGCTGAAAATACATGAAGAACTTCCTCCCCTGCTTCTTTTGCCATTTGTAACTAGGATACTATACACCAATTTCATTTTGCTTACAGGATGTCTTAGCATCATCATCAACTGGCTTCTCAGCTTGCTTCTTCTTCAGATGTGTAACTTTCTCCATCAGGTATAGGAGGCGACCCCTAATGGTTAAGTCACAGCTTCCATCCAAGGTTCCATCTTCATCTAGTTCAATTCCTGAAATAAAAATATACACTAAATAGTAAAAGAATAAAATTAAACAAGTTAGAGATGTTTTATACCTTATATGTACAAACGTAATCAAACTGAACTATGTTGTTCTGCCCAGTCAGAACTACAAGAGTTTGATATGGGATATGGTTAACCAGCAGTTTGGAACAAGTATAGATCAGGTATATCCGCAAGGCAGGAAACTGCAGATAAGGATCATGTAATCGTATTAATTTACTGTCTAAATTTGTGCTATTATACATAGTAAATACATAGTAAATATATCTCGGTGGTCAACTCTCCCAGTATGCACGTTTCCATGCTAACATTGATGTCAGCGTTTTGGACATATGTAGCTCAGCAGTGTAGTAACACTCCCTACTGACACAGTATGGTTTAACATACTAGTAAAGACTAGGAGATTTTTTAGGAAAAACATATCATAGAAGTTAAAGAACTGAAGTTAAAACAAACATATTTTGTAGTGACCAGTCAGAAGAAAGTAGCCACCTTCACAATACAGTCACTGTTTCATGACATTCCTATAACAAACTATAAAAATATTAAAAAATGTATTTTACAGAATCACAGAACAGCTGAGGTTGGAACGAGCCTTTAGAGATCGTCTAGTCCAGCCTCCCTTCTCAAAGCAGGTTCAACTAGAGCAGGTTGTGCAGGACCATGTTCAGTCAGGTTTTGAATATCTCCTAAGGTCAAGACTCCACAACCTCTTGGGGCAACCTGTCCTTGAGTTCTGTCACCCCTACAGCTGCTGGCTTTCTTTACCACAAGGGCCCATTGCTGTTCATGTTCACCTTGTTGTCCACCAGGATCCCCAGGTCCTTTTCTGAAAAGCTGCTTTCCGGTTTGGTCCCTAACCCGTCCTTGCTCCATGGGGTTATTCTTCTCCAGGTGCAGGACTTTGAACTTCCCATTGCTGAGCTTCATGGGATTCCCAGCAGCTCACTTCTCTCATGTTTTCCACTTTATTAATTCATGCATATATTGTAAAGGAACTCAAAATCTTGACCTATAACTATTACTCACACTAAAATACACTGCAAGTAAAAAGGTCATTCAGCTATTTTTTCTGGGATTTTTAGTTTCCAATATAAGTACTAAAGTTAAGGGTTTTGTCGGGAGTTCTTTAGCTGTCTTGAATTTTATAGGATATTTCTTCATGACATCACTTCATGTTCAATTTATTGCATCTGTTTTTCATTGTCTTTTTTTTTTTTGCATTAAGTATAGTTCCATTTCCATTAAAAGTTAATTTGTTATATTTTGTCCTACGAGAGTAATTGACATGAAACTAAACAAGGATGATCAGAAAATTCATATTTTACACTAAATCGTATTACAAGATGGTTTAGAATAGCAGTCTCTTCAACCAAACTAATTAACAGTATAGACACTGAAATATCTTATCAATTAGAATACAGAGATGCTCTGATTACTCAAGTCTGTTTTCCAACAGTTATGCTGCTCCTGGGGCTCTACCTGTACTTTTCTGATTTGCAAACTGTTAATGTAATAGTCTCTCAATGATTTCACATTGGTGTGAATCCCCAAATGGTAGTTGGATAATCAACCAAACATAGGACTCAGGATGTGTAATTGTTTTACCTATTTTGCAATAGCCATATTCTGAATACACAGAGTAATTAATTCTCCTCTACTGTAATGCACCCTGTGACCCACAAATTTTCTACGTGTGTATTATGCAAATTACTATTTCCCTATAAAGAAATGAAAAATAATGACAAAACTAAACTAACTAATCTACACAGAGGAGAATGACAGTAAAAGATTAAAGAAAAGTAGAAAAATCAAAGAGAAACATAAAGTCTCTTCTCCTTTCAAATATTAATTCTAAATGTTTTAATTCATCTTAATTTCTTCATTTTCTGTCAACTGACAATTTACTTTCAATTTTCCTTTTTTTTTTTCTTTTTTTTTCATTTAAAATAAAAATATCTCACTTGAAATGTCACAAGGCACCTTCAGCAAGTTTGTGGATGATACAAATTGGGAGAAGCAGAAAACATACTCAAGAGCAGGAAACTCAGCAGGGTAGAGGAAGAGGCTGACAGGATACCCGAAGTTCAGCAAGGACAAATGCGAAGTTCTGCAACTTGGACAGATCAACCCCATGTGACAATATAGGCTGGGCATGAACTCCTTAAAAAACATCTTTCTGAAAATAACATCGGGGGTCCTGTTGGGCAGTAAGCTAGATACCAGTCAGTAGTGCACTCTAACATCAAAGAGAGCTAAAAATATCCTATATGAGCAGAAACATAATCACTAGCTCCAGACAAGTGATTGTTCCCCAGTATTCAGAACTCATGACATGACATCTGGAATACTACATCCAGTTTTGGGTCACCCAATACAAGAAGAACATTGAAAAGCTGGAGAGCATCCAACAATGGCCCATCAAGATGATTGGTGGCTGGACCACTTGTCCTATAAGGAGATGATGAATGGACTGGGTTTGTCAACCTGCAGAGCAGAAGCTTTATGGTGGACCTAACAGCAGTCCACCAAAACCTACACGGAAGTTAGCAATGCTCTTTTCTGAGGTGAACAAGATACAACTGTCAAACTAAAACAGGCAGAGTTCCAAACTGACACAGGGAAAAAAGAAAAAAAATCACAATTAGGATACTCATGCCCTGTGACACATTTCCCAGAGACATTGTGGAACCTCTGTGTCTAGAAGTTTTCAAGACCCAAGTGCAAAAATTGCTGAGCAACCAGGTCTGAGTCCAGCAGTGACTCTCCTTTGAGTAGGAGGCTGCATTAAAGACCTTCTGTGACATTTGATACCTTAATAACTATCTGTTATTACTTTAGTAACAGAAATGTCTTTGAGGTGGACCAATCTAACCAAATCATCTTGTGATACACAAGAATATCAACTGTGCTTGCTGCACCAAGAAAGAAAATACATGTGTTATGAAATCAGATAATGATGGCATGTTGTTATTTGTTTGAATATTTTAAGGCAGTGAATTAAATAACTAAACATGTTATTTCCACTTAAACTGGGATCAATAAGGAATGTAATTCAGGAGGAAAAATACAGAGATCCTCCTGTCCAAAGCTCCTTCCTTAACCAGAGTATTAGTTTAAACGATATTATCACACATCCCAGCATTAGCTTCTTCTAGCTAATGGGACATGATGTGAAAGTTCAACTGCCTGTCTGCTCATGCTGTCTGCTAAGTGCCTCTCTTACTTGATTTTTTTTTAAAATAGCATACTGAAGTAAATGCAGGGACGAGTATCCAGGAAAACAACAAAGTCCTCAATGCAAAATGTAAGCAAGCATGCATTCTGAACAAAACTACTCTATAACTGTATTTTCAGTATTCATGGATATGAACTTGACATTTAAAATACACGTTTTGGCATTTTATTTTTATCTTGGTATTTTTGTATTTAAATTGCTACTATATTTCACAATTTAATATGACATAGAATTTGTTTTTATTAACTAAAGTGAAGAAATCAAAACCACTGAAATTCAACTGCTCCATTGGATTATTAGTCCATTTCAATAGATAATAAATTTCTGTATCTTCATTCGTGTCTGAGAAGAATCAGCCACTAATATTATGTTATATTGCGGTTCATATTGCCATAGTCAACTTGATACTGCAAAGATGACCTATACCAACCTGTGCAAAGGAGAGGCAATACGGCAGAGGAACCCCTTGAGTAACAAGTGAGGTACAATATTATCCAATACATTAAGCCCAAAGAAATTCCCACAGAGTTGGCATGGGTGAAAGAAAACCCTCTTCCCTCATGAAGCAAAACATAGTGCATTCCCTTCTCATTTGACCAGATATGAGGATAAGAACATTTTCTTGGTTTTGATTACAAGCTGAGTATCTTTATTGTTAGTATTTCTAATTGTAATTCTAGTGTAATCCATAGCCTACTTTAGTTGGTGTTTCTTACGTAAAATTATTTAGAAAAATTGCTTCTAAAGCTAATATAATTTAAAAACTAAAAATATTTAGTAACAAGACTTACCACAGTGTGTCATTAAGTCTTCATGGAAATCCAAGAGTTGATCCCGAATTTCTTCAGGGCAAGGACAATCATTTTTATCATCTTTAAAGTTCAGCAGCATGTTAATCTTAAAGAACACAAAGGGAAGGCAAATGACACTGATCTCAAAAAGGAAAAACTTTGAAATCAAACAGAACTCTGCCACATACAGAGCACAACAAAAAATAAATTGTCCATTGTAAGCTGTACCTGCTCCTGGGGTGGGGATCGAAATTCTTTTGTTTTTCTAGCTGTCAGTGCAGCAGACATGTTCAAGGCCTGCATTACTTCATTGTACCGGAAGCGCTGATTCTCTTGAAGCTTGGCCACAAAATCATCTGAAAATGCTACAATGGCTTCTATTCGGTGTCGTACCTGGCAATCACACAGGTACTGGAGTAGATGACACATCTGAGAAAACAATATAATAAGAGAAAGAAGACTTGGCACACTAAGAAATACCTTATGTATATTATGCAAGTAAGGATGGATTCCTTACAGCAGCAGTTACTATCAAATAAAGTGACTGAAATCTTTAATCCTATCATTTACTACATGTGGAGTAATCCTACACCACGAATATCTGGCATCTGCAAGAGATTTATGTGCCTCAGACATATGAAATATAAGACTTCATTAAAAGTTATTAGATTTACTCCTTGCTTCTAGGGAACTTCTTTTCTATCTGGATAACAAAAAAATGAATAATTCCCTGTTGATGTCATTGAGAAAGTAATTTTATTTAATGAAACAACAGTTGTTTGATCTATGGTAAACAAGTTTATATCATCAGCAAGATACTAAATCTTGTTGATTCCTGTAAGGAATTACTTCTCAGTTTACCTCACAATACATCAAAATGCTGTATTCCTTGGAAGAGAAATTACAAAGTGAAAAAAAGAGAATCTGAGAAGAAATGGGAACGACCACTATCACAGCAATATTGTTACCTGTAATTTAACAGGTTCTGGAAGTTTCATCTGGAGAAGTCCTTCCTTTGGCACTTGCTCCCCTCTGGTTTCTTCCTCTCCTTCTTCTGACTTGAGCTCATCTGAACTCTGCTCCGTCTCTGAGAAATCAATTTCATCCTCCTGGCTCATAGCTTCTCTGAAAACCCGGGGCTCAATCAACTGCAAGATGTGTTTCAGATCCCCATTGTGGAAGATTCCCATAATTAGGAGGGTATAAAAGAGCTTGATGAGAGGGACAAACAGAAATTCTGTAGAACCTCCAACAGGATCTCTGACATGGAGGCTGCCCTCCTGAACAGCTTCAGTCAGCATCTCTATGGTTTTGGCCTTTAAGATTTCCAGAGGGAATTCAGGACTGAACTGGAAGCATTCACTGCTAATGCTTACAAAACTCGGAGAGGAGAACTGCATTCTTGGCCTTAATGAAGTGCTAAGTCCTATACCAGGGAGGCCGTGTTTTTTGTTTTCATCAGGAAACAAAGTAATACTCTTGGTCTCATCTGTCATTGGAACTATAAATTCATTATTCATCATTAACCTGGCAGTTGCATAGGTATTGAGATGGATGTCAATGAGTAAGTCATAATATCCTGCACGTAATAATCCTGGCATGTATTTATTCTCAATAGCATACAGGAGCTGAGATTCATCCACATGGCTACACATAGCATGGGCCACTCGGTTGTTGCCTAAAGCACAAACAGCTGAATATAACCGGAGGGTATGGTAGTGAAATTTCAGCAATTCTTCTTGTTCTGTCAGCTCTAAAATATCAATTGTTCTGCAGAGAAAAAAACAATACAGTAAAATTCCATACCAGTGTTGCTTAAGTGAAGGAATCCAAAATTCTCCCGAAGGACAACATTGGCACAATACCAGTTCTAGGGATGGACTTTTTCCATGTTTCAGCTTTCATGTGAGAAATACTGTCAACCTAAGAATCAGGGACTAAAAATTTCAATCAGGTCACTCCTGAAGTACAACTTCAATTACTTTCAGTGGGTAAAGATGAAAATTATTTACTCAACACAGAATACTTCTTCATACTACAAACAAGAATTCAGATAACTGAAAATGAAGGTTTTAAAACTAGTATAAATTGAGATATTTATATCATTTATGTGTTTTTAGATCTGGGGTTGCAAAATGACAACAGACTAACTAGTACATTTGCAGAGATTTTGGAGGTGGGTCTGTTTATTTAGAATTCTTACCTACTTTTTTAGGGATTTTATTTTCAGTTTTGGCACTGGCAAAATGCTGAAACTTTTGAGTAACAAGGAAGTCACTAAGTTCAATTTCTTCAATGGTTTAAACTAAATTTAGGAAAAATAAAGTAATGGAATAATTAAATTGGTCAAAAAATTTGGAAAAAAATCCCTACAAAAACAGATCTTTACCTACCTTACAAATAATCTTTAATAATTTACAAACAGAGTTCCTTTCATTTTCATTCAAAATCTATATATACTATTAAAGAGTTTGGAGACAAACTGGGAGAGGTTGGAAACACAACAAAATAAGGCAGATATTAAAACACTGAAAAATAAGATTAATATTTAATATTAGCTAAATCAAAACACACTGCCTTTATTTACATGTGTTATAAATACAGAGACGACCTTGGGATTTTCTTATAAAATTTTATTACATGTCTAGTTTCATAATCTCAACCTAGCTCTGATATATTTCAACACACAAACATCAACCTGTTTTCTTCAGGAATGTGAAGGGCCATGAACTGCAAAGGATTCAGGCACTGTATCATCCAGCCTTGACGTTCACTGATTCGAGAGACATCAACCTTCAAGAAGTGGTTTGGCACTCTGCTCCAGAGCACATGAGTCAGAAATTGGACATGAAGACGTGGAGGACATTGGGAGACTGGGTTTTTGTGTTCGCTTTTGAATAAGCCAGCAGATAACGGCATTACATTCTGGAAAATTCCAACAAAAGAGACAATCAGTTCATCATCTTTACCAAACAATGACTATATGACAGGAGAGATGGGGAGGCACTCATTATCAGGGAGAGTAGTGATAGGACAAGGGGTAATGGGTATAGGCTGAAAGAGGGTAGATTTAGACTAGACATTAGGAAGAAATTTTTCACTGTGAGGGTGGTGAGGCACTGGAACAGGTTGCCCAGGGAAGCTGTGGATGCCCCAACCCTGGAGGTGTTCAAGGCCAGGTTGGATGAGGCTTTGAGCAACCTGGGCTAGTGGAAGGTGTCCCTGCCCACGGCAGGGGGGTTGGAACTTGATGATCTTTAAGATCCTTTCCAACCCAAACCATTCTGTGACTCTATGAAATATATTCAAGATATGATACAGTAAGGTACAGAAATTAGCATTTTCAGCAGTTTGTAAAACCAGGTGGAAACTGTTGGCAGATTAGCAGCGAGAGAGCATTGCCCATAACAAATTTTTTAAAACAGACAAATTTGAAATAGAAACTTGAATGGAATGTGTGGTCAATTCCTTGGACCACAGATCTAAACTCCACTCTTTTACCTCTTCTGATTTCCTAGAGAACCACGTATCCAAAACAAGGAAGTAAATTTCCGCTCAGTTTTCTTGACTGTACTGTTTCATTGTACTTTAAAACCTTAACCTAACCTACAGATACACCAGTCATCCATGCTCTGTTTGTAGAGCAAGAGATTTGCGTTACTGACCCCAGTGATTTAACCTGACTTTGCAATATCCTCTGCCAATTCTAATCAGTTATAACCCTTCTCATCCAATGTACTGTATTTTAAAACATGAAGTATTTGAAACTGAGTTAAGAATAAAAACAGAAATAGTGTAAAGACTTGGAATCACAAAAATGTGTCCGATACCAAGAACACATTGCAGGTAAAAATTATTGCCAAAAAATAAGAATATTTTATGATTTATTAGTCCTACACCTCCACAAAACCAAGCATTATTTACCTTTATTCTTCCCAATTCAAACTGGAAAACATTGGGGCTTGTAGCTTGAGCAAATACAGCAGGAAATAACTTTGTACTCGGTTCAACCTAAACCAAAGATGCACAAATATATCACCATTGAAGACAGCAAAACACTATTACATATTAAAAAAAACTCCATAATATCTGTATCGACAGTCAATAAGTGAAGCCTTTGAATAAAACCCCAGAAAAAATAAATGGGAGGGAAAAATCACTGTCATAACAGAGACAATTACTTTTTCTTCCAATCTTGTACAAAAGTTTCTAATAAGATGCAGACTGAGGATTCAGTTTTTCCCCTTCCCACTGGAAAGCATAATCAAAAAATACTCACCTGATAGTACGTCCCTAGTTCCTTGCCGTTAGCTGTGAAGGTGAGCAGGCCACTGGCAGCATCAATCAAGCAACCAATCTCCAGACCATTATTATTACGTCCTTGTCCAGGGCTCATGCTCTCTCCTGCGCACACCATATAGCAGTTGCTGCGTTTTATACTGAATGTCAAAAGACAGATTTATTTATGGATGGTGTATAAACGTTATATAGTGGAGTAAGAACAACTTTGTATGGCTGCAACCAACAGGACCTTGTGGCTAAAACCAGCGGACCTCATCATAACCAGTGCCAAAATTCAATGAAACCTGGACTTCATAATTAAAAAAAACTGAATATGACAAAATATGAACAAGCTCAATCTTCTGTAAAATTCCAAGAGACAAAACTGACATTGCAAATTAATGTTTTAAATCATTTAATGTTAAGCATAACACAAAGTTTCTGGCATGGATCACAAGCTGAAATGCTTAGAGGAGATGTTGTACTAATTTTGGCCTAGTCAAAATGAAAGTTTCAAAAATATTCCAAAGTATTTTGCTCTACTTTGTACCAGTTCAGAAGTCTATATCTACAGGATCATGGTCTGAAACTACATGGAAAAGCTGCACTATTTTACTTTTCAGGGCCTATTGATTTGATCATTAACCCACTGTTTCTTCACAAGCAAGAGGAGCTAGTCTAAAGAAGTTAGACTTTCTCCCATTACTTTCTCTCACTTTTTTTTTTTTTTTTTTAACATTAAAGGGGGTGGATTTCTAGCTTATAAATTGTTAATTGTTTTTATGGGTATAAAATAGATATCTTTTTAAGAAAATTGTAACCAACCTCTCATGAACCTTCCCTTTTTCATCTCCCAGTGTAACTGTGACAGTACGCACTCTGTCCAAGTCAAAACTCGTGTCATACTGGTGAAAGTCAGATGTAATCCAGCCCACCCAGACATTAGCAGGTTCTTGACCAGGAAATATTCTCACTGAATAATAGTACTGTCAATAAAAAAAATAACATCAGTAAATGTTAGTATTTGGTTTCTAGTGTTTCAGTTTGATTCTGAATTAATTTGTTGCTCTAAAATTGGAACATATATTATCCCTTGAAAAGTAGCATAGGCTTGTTCAAGTGCAATTCATAAGGAAAGCAACAAAAGAATATAAACACAAATCAAAATATAGCCAACAAAATACGAATATTAAAACAAAATATGGAAAAGATTAAAGATGTGGCTTATACACTTGTAGGCTTCTGTTTCATAGCATCATAGGTTATTTCTGTACTTCAGCTACAATTTGTATACTGTAGGTGACCCCGTTTCTAGTGTCTAATATCTTTCAGAAAGAGGAGAATACACCCAAAAGAGAAGTATTTTTTCCTTTGAACACTGAAGCGTGACTGCTTATGCAGCTGATCTTGTCAGAGAAGGATGCACAAAACCTGTACAAAACTTCCACTGGGAATTCCATGAAATAAATGCTGAGTAAAATTAATATATACATGTTTTGAAATGTTCCTGAACATTGACCTATTAGTTTAATGCACTTTTTCCTACTTATTCCACTATTCTACAACTATTTATTGTTTCTCTTTTATGTTTGGTGTTATCAACAGTAGTTTCAAAAATGGATTCAATTAATTTATAGCATTCCAGGTGGAAATTGTTTTAGACTGACAATCAAGTCAAAACAAAAGGAACATAGTAGTCTCAACTTCAGTAGTACAGGACTACCACAGCCATTTAAATGAAAAATTTTGCCTGAAGATGACACTGCTTCTGAAATTCGTACAAGCAAAAACATGTAGTTATTAAAAAAAAAAAAAAAAAAAAAAAAAAAGAAAAAAGAAAAAGAAAAAGCAAGCAGCTAAAATACCAATCCTATATTACGATACCGTGGAAGTTTGCATCAAATAATCATAGTCATCTCTATCATCTGCTAGCACATCCTCAGTAAGCCGTGCAGAGTGACTCGTGCTATAATCTGGCTTTGTCCTCCTGAGCATAAATCTGTAATAAAATAAGCAAAATCAAAACCTATACGAAAATCTCAATATATGAATATATACACACAAAGGAAATTTATATTGATATACCAACCCTAAATAAATTATATTTATTTTGCTAGCCCTAATACAGAATATTTATTACATTATTAATACATAACACTAGTTAGTTTATTACTTTCATGTAGATTAAAACAAAATAAATTCAAAGAGAAAGAGAAAGATACAGGCTCACTTTTGAAAGCACTTAAATTAATTCTCAGCTTAAACTGTAAAAGTCGCTTGGAAACTGAACTCACATAACTGAAAAAATTATCAAGCTGTTAAACACTTATGTCACTTTGGAAGAATGTGAAACCTTAAATGATCTTCACGCATCTAAAAATACCACCCATATGCCCTGACTTATTCTGCAATCAAAATATTTAACAAAGCAAGTTTGGTAAAGAAGAGCAGAAAGGGAATGGAGAGCTGCAGCAATATTGTCTGGGAAACGGCTCAGTGTTCACACCTCCACAACATCATCAAGTTAGGTGCTCTGCTCCTGATTTCATAAGAAAAATTTGGGAGAATGAACATGTCAAGCAGAGAATATTCTTCTGATTTTTTTTTTTTTTAATTGAGTGAGATAAGAAGCTGAGATACGTTTCTGAAGATTATCTAACCCTTTCAGCTTTTTGGAAGCCATGCGAAAAGAAAAAATGTTCCATGTCAATTTGAAGACCACCTAGTTCTTGTTAGAATGGATCTCCATGGTTTTAGACTGCACTTCACGTGATGATCACAAAAGCCTTCACAACACCAAATTATATTTTTCTAAGAGCTTGAAATTTTTTTCAGTTTTCTGTTTAATTTTAATCTATACATTGCATATGATGTAATTTAATCACATAAAGCTTATCTGTCCCGCCTACTTCGTTATAGCAAAACTTAGGGCAGAAACAGGGAAAAATCTCTGCAAGCCAAATGGGATACTAACCTTTGTTTAAGACGTGAGGGCTTTTCTTGAACATAATCTTTATGGTTGTTTAACTCTGGTTTTGTGGCATCTTTTTCTCTTTCTGTCCGATCGGGAACTAGATGACCATGAGCAGTTTTCATTAGAACTTCAAAATCAGAATCGGCATCATAATCCTCCAAGTCATTCTTTGGGCCAAAAAGACCAGAGCCTGGTAACCCTCCTGCAGCTGATCTGGAGAACACCTCAGCACATTCAATGGGCATGCTTAACCGAAAAAACATGACGTCTGTTTTGCTGTTCTGTGAACCAAAGGACTTCTGTGTGACCTTCAGGCAGGGGCAGCTGTCTATGGTGCCATCAATTCTCATCACCTATCAAATGTAAATATGTAGTTGTTTTGAAGCTGATGCTTTTTCCCCCTTGTAAATATTCCACTTCTATTTCTAGAAAAAGCATCTAAGACTTGCAGAACTTGCAACAGTATGCTGGCAGTGAGCAAATGTATTGTAATCATGTGCTCCCATTTTAAGGGGAAATAAATACTGTAAGGAGTGGAGGTTCTTGTTGTTCCTTTGTTAAATAAAAAAAACACTCACAAAGGAATGACCTTTCTCATCACAACTCTGCAACATCAATCCAACCCTGTCCAGAACAACATAAACCAACTAATATAAATCATATGTGTACATATGCAAGAACATAAATAATTTCTTAGATACTACAGGGTGATACAAATCAGCTGAAAAAGAGTTCTTAATTCTTCAGTTTCAGAAGGATTTCATGGTAGACTTACAAGACATGAATTCAGTTCCATGAAGATGCACAACTGATCGGGACATAAGTGTTGACACAATTGGCTAATAAATATTTATTAAAATCAAAACCAATTAGTTATGGAAAAATCACTTCACAAAGTGTGTGCACCAGAACACATGGTATCTGTTATGTAGAAATGCCCAGTTTCTGGAAGTTGTTTACAAACATAGCTCTCACTGCACAAGGAGCTCTTAATGAGGACATTTTTCTCTGAGACTCTCACGTCTCTAGACATGACGGATTTCACGGACACAGAAATATTACCAACTGTGGCAGATGCAGCCGCCCTGACAAACACCAGGGGTTTTAGGTGCCTTGAAACAAAGCAGCTATTGCTTTCCTTTGTTTCTTTTTGCACCTTTCCTGTGACTAGTGTCAGGTATACAGGTGTCAGAGGATGGGTTCTCCAGCCAATGAGGGTCAACATGACTATATCTGACCACAGATCAGATTCAATTGGAGCCCTGCTGGAGGTGAGTTCAAGTCTGTCCTTGGAGGAGCAGGTCTGCAGTTGGGGACTCTCCCCTCAGGCTGAGATGCCACCTAAGGAAACTCCTAGAGGCTGAGAGCCCTCCCTTTTAATAGGTGAGTGAATTTGCACTTTGGGTCATTAGAAACGTAATTCAGACATATGGAAGACGTATCTAGAAACATTTTGACAGGATCACAAACCTCAATATGTTCATGATTTTGTGGTACTGGTAGAAACTGAGGAAGCCTTTTACTCAGCCAAATGGTGATGTCTCTGTTTGTATTAACAGCAAAGGGTTCATACCCTTCCTGTAAGCCACAGATAGTGAAATACTTTAGAGTGCTGACATCTTTTCCAAAGTTCATTCTTCCCACTTGAGATGGGCCCAGGCTGCACACAGGTAGAAATCCTTAAAACAAGATGAAAGAACATCATGAACATCAGAGAACTTCTCTCTTCCATAACCCAATTAGAAATCATTTGGAAAAAAACTCCAAAAAATAAACAGCATAAATGCAAGCAGTTATTGATAGCACATCACCTCTTGCACATCACCAAGTACTGGATGTCAAATATCATTCTGAAAAAAAAAACAACTCTCTAATAGCCATGGATCTCTTAATGCAATGTAGAAGAATTTACACAGAGTTTACTTCAGAGAAATGTGAGAGTACTTCAAGGAGTCTGACAACCAGCTCTTGGTTAATCTCTCTGCTAAGCTGGTAGTGTTGCAAATTTTACTCCAAGTCTTCCTATTTCTGAAATTCCTCCTAAAATTCCATTAGTCATGGTATTTTAAGAGAACCTCAAAAATTACTTTAAAAGTAATAGCTTATCCATACAGCTATAGCAGTGAAAAACAAACACAAATATGCAACAAGTGCATGCTGTAGTTAAAAAAAAATAAAATAATTAAAAAATTTCACAATACTTTGTGACTGCATAATGAGCACTGACAATAGGATACTGGGGCTTCATTAAACTTATGGTAGTTTGTTTTTTAGTTTGGGCTGGCTTGTTTGGTGTTTTGGTTTTTTTTACTTTTGAACCTGCTTCACATTTGTATGCATCTTCTCTCTTGCTGTTTCACTAGCACAGGGAACTCACTTGTGATTCCTTTGCACTTTTTAAAAAAAAACATTTGGTTGGTTTTTTTGGTTTTTTTTTTTTTTTTGTTCCTCAGGTTCATCACAGTCTAAAAACTGAGGAAAATCTCTTATTTCTTCTGTTCTTTTTCATCCTGATTTTGAATTTCCACAGCTACAAATCACTTTACAGATTCATTTGATCTAGCTATTAACAAAATGTTTTCTTTTATATCAACAAAAAACATGAAGCTCTCTTCAATGACTCTGGTTCAAGTGAATGTACCAGGTATTGAAGGGTATAAGGACAAAATACAACTACTTCCCCAGTTTTCTTTAGGTTGCCCATGTAAAAAAAAAAGGCAGAATATCTGATCATGATATGTTCTTCAGAGACAGAAGCAAACCCCAGAGCACCATCTACAGGAATGACTGCCCACCAGATAAAAGATCAGTCTTCAGTACCACTTTTTGAAGATTTTACTACAGATACACAAGATCGGTTGTGCATGTGTGTTAGGCACGATAAATTTAAGGACATACACTATTAGTTCTAAGTTCAAGTCTAGATTTTTATCTTCACAGCAAGGCTCTTAAGTCACAAGGCATCAGCTTCTCAGACAACACAGATGATTTAGACAACACGATTTATGTCTATTCTGCTAATGCAAATCCAATAACAAACAAAAATAAAGAGTATCCTCCAGAACTAAATGAAACAAAATCTTTTCATACAACACATAACTAGGAAAGTTATATTTGAATATAAAGATCATATGCTGTAGTAAAACTCAGCAGCTGTAGTAGGGACAATTGACTAGGCTCCCTGCTGAGTTAAGGGAATCCGTAAACTGTTCCAAAATTTTTAAGCAAAGCCAAAAATCAAAATCCTACTTTCAATAACCTTAAAAATTTCAGCTCATCACTCAAGAACAGTAACAACCTTCTACGCACATCAAGTTGTTTGAAAACGGGTTTTCTCAGAATGAGTGTGACAGCATGAATCCTCACAATATTAACAAAAAAACACATAAGATTTGCCATAAACCACATAGGCATATGTAGCCTAAAGCACGTGCTTTGTCTGTCTGAATCACCTCACCATTTAATTTCCGATTCTTATTGATGTAAAACATTTTCAGATGTTTCCAGGATGTATGGCACACAAATTTAGAATCTTATGAAGAGTTTTGCTTTCCACATCTCAAAAAGGATATAATAGACCCGACTATGGCCAACGTGAATGAAACTGCTTTCTTATCAGCAACAATTAAAGAAATTAGGATACTTCAGCCTCAAAAAAAATTATTAAGCAAGTACAATACATGATGAGGGGCACAGACAAAAAAAATCAACAGCAGCTTATGTTATCAGCAGAATTCAGTAAGCACACATTATTTTAAAAAGCTGATTAGATAATTAGATGTAGTCCAAAACCCAAGAAAAGATGATCAACTGTATTCATGGAGATTGAGATGAATAAATGACACAAAACTACATCAAACAGGAATATAAAAATATGTAAAATACTTAAAATATTGCTAATATATATCTTTCTTAAATAGAATGCACATAAACTGTTAACTCTTCTACCTATGCATTTTCATGTGGGCTCAGAAAAAAAGATCTCACTGATAGATTTTTTCTTAGACATGAAGCAAATATTTTACACACACACAAAAATAAAATGTAAATGAGAACTTGCAAGATCCCTTGAAATAGAACAAAGAAACCCAGAACAAAATTCCTACCCAGGCAAAACTCTCATTGATATTATTACTCAATCTAGTATTCTCCATCAACTCTGTAACTCTGTAGTCAACAAGGAATCAAGATGACAATCTCACTCACCAATATAAATTTCATTTATGCCAGAATGGCACTGTACATGTAGCGAATCCCTGCAAGTAATCATAAATATACAGTAAGTGTCCCCCTGTATGAATAGAATATAAATACCATTGCTGGTCCTAATCATGGAAGCACTACTTCCGTCTCTGGTGACATTCTGCACTGATTTGCCAATGGTATAGCTGCCATTAAGGTGTTTCAGGGGTCTTCTGTGTCTGCTAAAGATATGGCATCTCATCTTATAGGGAGCGTGCTGGTAAGGCACTTCCATGTCTTGCTGTCGAATACAAATTAACTTTCAGTACCTCTAAATGGGCATCCAACCATTTTAGATGTAATTCTTCACAGATCCTGTGTAGTCCTTGCAGGCTGAAGGCTACATAAAAAGATGATTCACCCATGACCTGCCTCTTAATCTCCTGGTGCGTAACTGGGCTACAGAGCAAAAATTTTACTGTATGAAATAGCAAAACAACTAGAAAGACTTTACACTACCACCAGAAAAGCAGCCGGCTAACATTGTCTGTCACATGTGGCAAAAGCATAGGACAGCAACACTTTTCATCATGTTCCCTACTTTCAAGAATGGAAGATGAACCTCCTGACCTGATCTGTCACACAGTCATTACAAACAGTTCACGCTCACAGAGATCATGAATTGTCAAAACAAAATTTGGTTTGCACAGCGTACTTTTTTGTATCTACAGTGTGAAGTTTCTCTTACATAGAGACATAATAATATGTCATTATGTTTAATAATTTTCCTACTGAGATGGTATCTCACAAACAAAGTAGTCTGCCCTAATCCTAAGGAGCTCCTCTTCTTGGCTGTACAACCTAAGGCACAGCACATGAGCCTTATTAGTAAGCTGGCAGAGTATCATATTCTCTTTTGACTGTTCCTAAGTAAATTAAAACTACAGGACTGATTTATAGTCAGACTGCATCCTTCAAAGCAGGACACTGGGCTCTGACCAGAAATTTTATCTTTTTTTCTAAAGCAAAAGTTTTCTTTCTGTAGCAGCACATGGCATGCACAGGCTTCACTGATAGAAGTGACCAGCAGAAAGGTCTCAATGCTCTTAAGCAAGAGCCATTAACGAAAACAGACTAAAACCAGCCTACAAAAAAAAAATGAAAGCTCTGTAAAAGTAGTATTTAATTTGGGTATTTCACACATGTGTTTGTATATACACACATACACATACAGATGTCTTCCTCCGCCATGAATTGTATATGAAATACCCATAATATTTACAAATATTGATCTGGAGTTATTATCGGCATGTTCCTTTGAAAACAGAATAGGAGATCTTATTTCAAAGGCAAGCTCTTTTTTAGAAACATGACACTAGAGGAACTTAATGTGAATTAAAGGGATATTGTGAAAAATCCGAGAGACTTGACACTGACATTAATCCTTTGACATGGTTACCAAGGTCTTCGGGCTCCATGTCAAACCAGGAACTACTTTAGCAGTTCCAGACTCAGAAGAGATCTCTTTAACTGAACCTGCAGCTAGAAACAAGTACCACAAAAACTACACCACTGATTTCATCAACTTTGAAATCAAAACAGTGGTCAGACAGGCTGTCCTCAGAATTTCATGGAATTACAGTTTCTCTCAGAATCCCTCACTCCTCAATGGGATTATACTTCCTTAATAACTTGAAAACCATTATAACTTAATGGCACCAGCATGATTTTATGTCTATACCACTAACAATAAGCCAATCACGCATCCCTTTCCCTCATTATGTTATCCCAGTATCTAAGGAAATATGAAGGCAGTAAAGTAACAGGCATGAGTCTAGAAAATTGGTGGCAATTACCTCATTTTAAATCAAATCAAATTATTCCTAGTTCCTATGGTATGGCAGAAGGAAAAAAAAATATTCTCCCAAAGCACTCCTGAAAGTAAAATACTCAAATCCAGATGAAAGTAACATGGTTAAAATTCAAGCAGCAAGCTACTTAATTAATAGCTTTATGATTCATTTTTCCCTGGAAGTAGGGATCAGTAACCCAAAAGTATCATTTGCAGCTTTGACTGTATTAAAAAAATTAACTTTATCTCTCAGACACAGATGTATTATTTCACAGATGTATAATATATATGACAAAATATGTGTACCTACTACAAATGAAAGGGAAAGATTAAAGCTTAAAATGTTTTTTTTTACATTAGCACAGTTCAGAAATTTTAGGCAGTTATCTACATTGATGTAATGTATTACCCTTTTATGTACCTATTCACAAACAAGTATGTCATTCAAGTTATAAACAAAAATACTTTTGTGGTATAGAATCAGTCTCACACAACCTCACAATCCTTATCATCTTTTGCAACCTGGTAAGCTGCGGCTTCATGGTAAACTAAAACCTGCTTGTAGAATCTGAAAGCTGCACCAAGAACACTACAACAGGCACAAAACTCAATCTGCTAGTTTAGAATTAAGCAAAACATTTTGGAGGCTAGGTTTGTACCAGCTGGCTTTATCCTGGATTGGGTGTCATTTCTCCTCCCAGAGCTAAAACAAAACCTTAAAGCTGGCTTAAACTCCCTACCATATGTTCCACTAATTTGACAGAAATTTGGTATTTCAGTACTTGACCTACATAAAATTTGATGTCCCTGCCCACAACAGGGGGGTTGGACTAGATGATCTTCAAAGGTCCCTTCTAACTCAAACCATTCTATGATTCATTTTATGATTCTATTATATCATATGGCGACCTGCTGCAGTGCAGATGAAATGTTAAAGGTCATGAATTTGCAATCCCAGACACATCCCTGCAAAACAGTCAAAAGGATTGATCACAAAAGATGGCTGCAAAGTTCGCCACAGAAAAAGGTCTTGCCTCATCCTCACACCCAGCATGCCTCCTTTCCAAAGGCTTGATATTAATGAAACAGAGAAAAGGATGAGGGGTAGTTAGCTAGAGAAGGGGGGTGGGAGGAGAGAAAAACAATAAGCACACCACATTAAAGGGAAGCCAGAGCAAAAATTGGGCAACAGCAAGTTAACAGCACAATGTATCACAATACTTACCATCACCAACCTCAAAGTCCTTGAATGCAAGTTCTGAACCTGAGTCATCAAGCAGGATTTCACCATTTAAGGTGAACATCATAGTGTGCTCATTCATGTCAACCATACATCCAACAACATCTCCTGCCAACCAAGAGCGGCCAAAATGCTCATTACCCTGATGCCACCGCTGTGCCTGAAAAGGATTTAAAAGAATTTCACGGAGTAATACTGACACTGTATGTATTCATCTCTCCCTTAGTGGTGCAACTAATAATTATCCCCTTCAATTAAGGCAGCACTCAAATTAACACTTTCACAGCATATCATTGGAAAACAATGCCTGTGAGTACTCCAAGACGACTTTGAAAATGGAAATCTAACAACTGACTTCTTGCAAGCACCCCTCGCATTAGTATCGTAAAACGTTGCTAAGTGAGCTGACAGGGAAAATTGCTATTTCAACGTTTTAGTAACAAGTAAGAGTATGGCTTATTTTTCTGCAGAAGCTCCATGAAAGACTTGTAATGAAAATAATAGGTTATCAACTACAATGATAAATAGCTGCTTCACAAACTTTTTTAAGCAATTGTTTTTATTTAATCTAGTAGCCTATAAATTCATTGCTTCCAAACAGATTTTATTATTTCCTTAAGTACAATTTGAAAAATGTTGTGTACAAAATAAATTAAACTTCCTGTCATACCAGATTTTGGAAGGAACAATTGTCTGGGGATGGGACAAGCACTCTGAGCTTCTGATACATTCCACAGTAGCTGAGAGCATGATTAATGATTCATATGACTGATCTTCAAGTCAAAGACTGCAAGGGCTTTGGACAGGGTCTCAGATTGGAATTCAAATAAATTAACATCTATTAAGAACTATTGTAGGATGCCTAAAATAAAGCAGTGTTAATAACAAATAGGTTCCCTATTCATATGTTCCATCACAAGTAGATTTTTGTCCTCTGTATCCATCCCCAAAATCTGACAAAACAGATGAGCCTTTCTGTGTATCCTGAAGGTCAAAAGTTTTCTCCAACCAAGGAGAGAAGCCATCAAAATAAAAAAACAACAAAATAGCTTTGTGGACCGAGACCTAAAGGTCAAAACCTAAGATTCAGAAGGCAAACTACTATACCACTATTCTAGTGAAGACACAGGACTGGAATATTTTACCCAAGTCAATCAGACATTTTACAAAACCAGCTTTTCAGGGCTCTTTTTAAGGCATCTTCTCATATTATACAAGACTGCGAAAAAAATTAAAATCCATCAACATGAATAAAATACAGCTTGAAAGTTTGATCTGACCAGGAACAGGCAGGAATACTGTTTATTTGTTACATGTTGTAACAGTAATAAAGGAAATGAAATCCAACATCAGATACAAGAAACATTTTGACCTGACTTGTCAGTGCCCTTAAAAGCAATTATGGTTTGGATAGCAGTTGCACTTGCCTTCATACTGAAATAAAAATTTTAATGAGTCATTTAATCTATTCTGATGAAAATCAGTAACATATAGAATCATAGAATCATAGAGTGGTTTGGGTTGGAAAGGAAGGACCTTAAAGAGCCCCTAGTTCCACCCCCCCTGCCATGGGCAGGGACACCTCCCACTAGCCCAGGTTGCTCAAAGCCTCATCCAGCCTGGCCTTGAACACCTCCAGGGATGGGGCATTCACAGCTTCTCTGGGCAACCTGTTTCAGTGCTTCACCACCCTCACAGCAAAAATTTATTCCTAATATCTAATCTAAATCTACCCTCTTTCAGCTTAAAAACCATTACCCCTTGTCCTATCACTACACTCTCTGATAACGAGTGCCTCAACACCTCCCCTGTAGGCCCCCTTTGAGTACTGGCAGGCTGCAGTAAGATCTCCACAGAGCCTTCTCTTCTCCAGGCTAAACTATATCTATTCTAGGCTAAAATTGTTTGTTTTGCTACATATTTTTACTACTAGATTTCAATCTGTCGTTGTCTCACGTAGAGTTAAATTTGAGCAAAAAGTGCTGGTTCTATCATACTCCATTTACTCTAAACTGTAAGGATTCCCAGGTAAGGAAAACCTAGGTATACTCTTTGTAACTTCTGCATTCCTATAAAAAAACTTGTATCAAAGTTTGCATCCAGCATTTACTGCTAATAGTCTTAACCAAATTTATTCCCTAATGGCACTTCTGATAGAGACAACAACAGAGTGAAAATTAAAGAAATTATTCATTGTTTTAAGTACATCTCTGCTAGTATTTTGAATCTGGGTAAGTCCCCCAGATATTCAATGCTTTATGTATACTGTACAAATACTGTGAAACTGCAAAAAAATTACAGACATGCCAAACCCTGCTCATTAATTTTTCAGGTGACATTGATCCTCCTTATTACACCTTAGGCCCTCAAAGAGAGAGAGAAATAATGTCATAAAACACAAATGAAAGAAGAGAAGGCAAGCAAACCGAAGTAATGACACATAGAATAAGACACAAAATTAAAAGTTTTATAATCATTCATATTATTACAGATAAACACGCACAAACCTTAAAGCCGTCAAAAACAAAAGCTTCTTCATCTGAGCCAAGTTCCTGATCTGGCAGACAACCCGGCCTGGTCCAGCCAACTCTCATGTCTCCTGCAGTAACTGCCTCAAACTCAAAATACCACTTCCCAGTCTTCACTGCGTAAGTCTTTTCGGTGCGGAAGATCCTGAATTTTTCCATTATCCCATTGCACACGTCCAGTCTTGCAGCTGTAAGGTTTCAAAAAATAAAAAAAATAAAGGGAAAAAATCCAGTGCAGAAAGTACTGTATTCAACTATTGACAAAATGAAGCCATTGAAAACAAAAGGCAAAGGAATCCCTCCAAGCATCCTTTGAGCATGCAAAGAAGAAAGTCCCTGCAGAACAGCCTTATGGGGAAAGCGCCCTTGTCAGCCCTTGGGGGAACCTGTGACCAGGGCATGGTGTGTTAGTTGGCTTTAATTACAGCCTTGCATGGTGAGTACACACAAACCTCCCTCATTGTTCCTTACTTGTTACGTAGTCCTACAATCTGTTTCCGATACTTCTTTCCAAGACCTTACTATCAATTCAAACCATAAGGTAGCTTAAAATGGCAAAAATAAAAACTTTAAAAAGATTAAAATTATTTCACAAAGCACAAGAAATAATACTGAATCAAACTCTTGATCTTTCTTCCTTAAGTTTTCTCAACTACTCTACTCTCTGGTATTTCATAGTTTTCTTTCCATCAAATCACATGACTCAGGGATCACTGACACTTTTTCTCAGATTAGGAAAAAGAATGTGCAAAGCCTTCTGGATCTTCTCCCAAAAATTTGCAAGGTATTGTCTTCTTCCTGAATCTCTTATAAGCTCAAATATGTCTGCACCCACCTGTCTGTTTGTTAGACCATGTTATGAACCTCTCCCTTTCTCTTCTGTTTTCTCAGACACATCAAGATCCACATTTCCAATATTATCTTGAATAGCCGATAAAATCATATCCCTCAGAACTTACTATCACTTCACATGCCAGCAAATGCCTGACTTCAGTTAGGTCAGGCTCATTAAGTTTCCTGTTAGCAACTCTGAACTCTTTATCACATAATTTACCAGTAAAATTTATTCTTTGATGGTCTACACAATTAATGCCTTAAAAACACTTTTTAAGACCTTCACCTATACAGGAGATGAAGAACCACAAAGCATGGGAACTGAGAATTTGTTCTCTTTTTAGACTCTAAGTAACCGAATGCTTTCTAGATTCTAAGCAATCCCAAAAATACAGCCACTGTAGGAAACCAGTAAGCAATAATAGTAAGAAGAATGAACCACAGAAAAATGGCACTATAGAGCTTTGTAAATCAATGTTTAAAATAAAATTAATGAATGGAAATGCAGAACACCACTAGAGGGCTCTAAATCCTTTAATAACAGTATGAATTTTGTCTGATGAAAGGGGATCCCTATGACATGTTTTATACATCTCAAAAACTTGAGAGGCTCATAAACTGTAAAATCTAAATCCGCAAGATGAGTGTAATAATATTTTACTGAATGCAATTCCAGTCTTGCTTAAGAAAGACCAGTTTGTGGGACACTGTTCTGCAGTTTCTTTCCTCTGGGAATTTTGCAACAAGATTGATGACACTTTTCAGACACAAGGATTGAAACCGTGTTCTTCACATTTCATTAGCAACTCCATACACAGAACTAGCTCAAGGATCTCTGCATCATGAGAAAAAAAATAACATTTTCAGCCGTTCATTCCCAAGATAAGGCAGGGGCACATGGTTCTAAGAGCTGTAAATGAGAAAAGGGGATTAATGTTGTTCAGAGACATTTGGAGAAAACTGTGGAAAATGAGCATGCTCTCTCTCCCTCTCACCCTACACCACTAGACAGCCCCTTTATCTTCATAAGAGGCAAAAGCCAACTCACTTTCTCAGAACCAAGCAGAAGCCATGCTCACGCTCTCTATGCAGTATCTCCTTCCCACAGTGGGAGGGGAAAAATTACAAGATCATGCAGCAGCCTTGAACTCTCCAGATGGACAGAGACAGAGACAGATTTAACAGTGAGACCATGCCATTTGCCACCAACACAATCTACTTCATGAGGAAACATTGTTTTGCCCACTCAGCAATCCAGCCTTGTTACATGCCCATGGTATCAACGATGCCTTGTATTTAAAAGTGTCATTTAATAGCAGCCTCTCATAAAAGCCAAGGATCAGACCATGTACGTGCTGTTGAAAAGAAACTGAAAATGGCAGGTTCCCTATGTATGTTCTGGGTATGAGTGGGATCTTCTGCAGAAATGCTTTACTGAAGGTCTATAGCCTAAATAGGCCCAAATTTAACAATACTATCACTATACAAAGCAGGAACAATATTCATTTATTTACCAGAATATTGATAGGATAAGGTTTAGACACATTCCTCAGATTTTCCACACTTTACTGAGATTATAAGGATGTCAGTTTCAATTCTGATTTGATTATTCTGTATTTCTGTATTGCCAAGTGAACTTTTCTAGAATATGGTTGCTCAGGGGTTATATATGTTACCATTTCCTTTCTATATGTCCAGTTAGTGTTCCAGAATGACAGTACGGTACCAAGAACATCAGTCTCTGGTGTTCTGTCTTACAACTTGATCTCAGCATGACAGAAAACTGCTATTTTAAAAGCCAAAATCTGTAAGATAATTTATTTGTACATTATGTCTCCTGATTTCATTTACTTTTTTAACATTTTACATTCTGTAGTTACTGAGGTAAATGCTGTGTATTGTTTCTTAATGTTTATATAGTTTTCCATGTTTCTTCTGTTTAGGATGTCTCAAACTCAACCTACATATGCTGAAAATACTGTCTGCAGTATCAACAAAACAGTTAATGTGGGAAAGATGCAAATGCAAAGAAAACAATTTTAACAAGTTAAAATTTACTTACAGTCTACTCAACTTCAAAGACCTGAGAAAGTCCAGGAAACTTAAACACTCTAACAAACTATCTAATTCTAGACTTGCAGTTTGACATTCAAAGAAATTTGGTTTGTAGGCATTTGTCTTCAAAACTTTCATCTTCACTATTTAGAGTTAAAATTGTAGGAATATAAAAATCACATCTAATGCATTTATACAGATCTTTCTCTTAGCAATTTTGCTATTCTGTCTTGAAATAACAAATATAATACTACTTTAAAAGTTTTTAATTAAAAACTGAATTTTAGATCAGGGAACTTCAGGTATTTATGCACATATTTAAAATGTAACAATACATTTTTTTGCCTGTTCTAAGACCATATATTGAGCAAGATAATAAACATGTTTTCTTGATTTTCTTTATCTTATGGTTGTGTCTTGTAGTATTCACAATCCTGATTTAAATTGCTTAAGGTTTTAATTTTTATTCATCTGAACTATCAAATCTACAAAATGAATGGTGAAAGGAAATGTGTGAAATACAGAGAAATTCTATCACTGATTTAAAATGTAAAAATGTTTCATTTTGTAATTCTTCACTTGAGGCCACAGAAGAAGAGGAAGAAACAATAAAGAAAGTAAGATCAAAAAGAAATATAAAGAACAGAAGTACCTACTAGCTTTGAAGACACTTTATCACACCAACAAATCCAGTACTGCAGTGAAATATTCTAACCTTTCTTTGAGAGAAGAACAAATCAACAAAATTAATTACCAGGATCTTGATCAGGAGCTTCCAGGTTGTAACCATAGCCTAGCAGGGTGCGGACTGCTTCCCGAAGACTGTCTTTGTTTGACTTCTTCGTCCGATCATCCAAAAGAGCATAAGGTACAAGGCGAGGATTTCGTCGATTTTTCACATCCTGCGTAAGTATGAAAAAACAATTAAATTTCAGAAATTGTGCTTTGTCTTAGAAACAAAATTGTGCTATAGCAGCAGCATAAAAATTACTATTTATACCAACTGAAACTGTGGAACTGCAAATACAGCAAGGATTCAAAGAAGTTGCAATAGTCTAGAAACTAGCAACAACACTGAATTTACTAAAAAAAAGCAATTAATACACAAACAAACATAACTATGGGGTTGAAAGCTACTTTCATTCTCCACCAAATTTATTTAATAGGACAGCAATACAAACAAGAACAAGGATAAATGTGAAGAGTTTGACTGAAAAGTCAAACAGATTATATTTTGTACACCGTTTATGAAGCAGCTACCACGACAAGAAGCTAGTACATAACTAAAACTTGGAGACATCACTGTACCACAAATATATAGCGTTTTTTCATTACAGCACTATACAAGAGATATAAAAAAACCCCAAAGAATAAACAAGATATACACAAAAGATAAAACACTACTAATAAAAAATATTAATAAATACATGCACTACTAATTAATAAACAATTAAATAGATAACAAACTTGTGCCTTACCATGTCAAACACTTAAAACATGTATTTTACAAAAGAAAAAGTTTCTTGTAAGAATATGATTAATGTGCTTCATGTGCAGAATTTTTGTAACAGGTAATTTAACATATCCTCTCCTCCATCTGAAATCAGTGTATTGGTAAGGTTTAATCTTTGCATTTTAGGCTTACTAACACAACATTGATTAGGTTTTCCTCTAGTGCAAAATTATCTTATCTGAAAGCACTGTTTAAGTAGATTATTTACATGACTAACATAATTTTTAGTGACTAATAGAATTGTTTTCTTGTCTACATTTTCTTCTCACATCCGGTCAGCATTTGTTGGCAGCGAGAGGCACCATACGAAGAACTCTCCATGTTCTTCTTAATATCTTATTTAAACAAATAAATAAAGAAAGAAAGACTGGACATATAAAAAAATGCTTGCTGTTTGCTTGGGTACAAATACCAAAGATATGGAGAGGCTTTTACGATTGGTCAAACTTACTAAGTGCAAAAATAGCGGCTATTACTTTAGAAAACTGTGCCTACAGCATAACAGTTCTGCTTTTAAGAATGTGTGTGGTTTTTATTCTACCTTTGCAGGCAGAAAAGTAATGGCACATCCATTCTGACACATAGTTGCAGGCATCTTTTGTTGTCCTTCAAATGCTTACATACAAGGCTATCTGTCTTTTGCCTTATCTTGGTGAGTAAATATCAAAGTGCATTTAATAATCAGCATTTGCTGAAATCTGTTCGTACCAGTGGTCCTCCTAGGAGAAAAAGTATTATGGGTCAAGCATTACCCATATGCCAAAAGGGCTAACAGAAACATAAAGATAATGCACTGCTGTGGACACAGGTCACTGTGCCACATCA